CAAAAGGGTTCAATCAAGTATTACCTTTGGAGAGCAGCTAACATTAGCTTCTTCTTTGGTACAATATCTCTGTAGTCATTTTTTATAACAACTTCTTGACTATATCATATGATTTCTTCACAAAGCAAAATGACAATATTCAACCTCTTTCAATATGAAAAGTTAACTTTGTCTTTTGATGTTCTTTTTCTTTGCTGTATTGAAAGGATGACAAAAACTTACTTCACCACCAGCCTTGCCACTACAGGTGGAAGGCAAACAGAACTGAGCTCTCCAGGCTAAAGATTTGGGTCATCAATATCTATTGAGAAAGAAAAGAAGAGAGGAGACAGACAGATAAAAAGAGGTGTGTGTGTGTGTGTGTGTGTGTGTGTAGATAAACAGGGTGTAGGGTTGAATCCTGGAAGGACTAGGAATAGAACAAGATATAGAGTGTGGTAGGCTGAAAATGACCCCCCCCAATATATCAGGTCCTAATCTCTGGAACCTTAAATATTACCTTATATAAAAACAAGGCCTTTGCAAATGTGATTAAGATAAGGATCTTGAGATGGAGAGATTATCCAGGATTGTCAGGTGGGCACTAAATGAAATGATATGTATCCTTATAAGGGGGAGGTAGAGGAACATTTGACAGATGAAAGAGGAGGAGGTTATGTGACCATAGAGACAGAGAAGCCAGGAGTCACCAGCAGCTGGAAGAAGCAAGGAATGGACCATCCCTAGAGCCTCCTGAGGGAATCCAGCCCCATTGACACCTTGGTTTCAACCAAGTGATGCTGCAAAGATCCTGTTTCCAGATAAGGTAATCTCTGGTAATCTCTCTCTCTCTCTCTCTCTCTCTCTCTCTCTATATATATATATATATATATATATATATATATATATATAATATTATATATATAATAGATAATTATTAAGTCATATTCAAGTCATATTTTCTAAAACAAATTTGAGAATATAAGCATATATGTTTATCAACTATGGAATTTTTGATGCAAAGATACACTTACACTTTTCTGATTTTGGAGAACCAATACCCATGTCCTAGCCTAAAGACATTCAGGAGATATGGCAGAATCTGGCTTTTTCCCATTGTCCCACTGTCTCTGAACATCGCCCAGGAGTCAATTCAGTTTTACATGGTTTGTTCAAGTAAGATTAAAGTTGAGGTCAATCTCTTTTAACTCCCTAATAGTTGGAGAGCACAAGGAGTCCTGGGGCTGTCCTCAAATCTAGCAACTCTGTTTCATAATCACTCTTCCTTTGCTTCTGAGCACTTCTGAGGAAGAGGAAGGAGGATATTACTCTCTAACAACCAGCTACTGTTATTGATTTGTTATCTTAGCCCCATCAAAGCACTCAAACAAAGCTCAGATACAAAAGACTTGTCAAAGGTTAGAGAAAAAGTTCTATAAGCCATACATTGTCAATATAATTCTATTGAATTCACTTTCTCATTCTTCTTCTGCTTGTCTTTAAAATCTCCAATTGATTTTTTCCCAAATTCACAGTGTCACCCAGCTAGGGTTGTTTGTAGTTGTTGGCAGAGTTCTCAATGAAATGGCAATTATTTTGTGCTGCTTTTGCAAATTCAGCAAGTATATCACACAAAAGGGAAACCCTTTCCAACACAGCTCTGTGTGTGTGTGTGTGTGTGTGTGTGTGTGTGGTCAAATTAATTTCTCCTGCTCAATCCTTTTTGTTTGTGCACCTGCAATTTGATCATGCACTATATAATTCAATTTTGCTTAATTTGATTATACTTGACTGAAAATTATATATTGAAGGCTTTGTAAGGAGAAACTGTTTAAAATTTTAGCAGACTGTGATAGTTTAAATGCAGCGTTTCTTTGCCTTATCACCACTGATATTTTGGACTGGATAAGTCTTTGTTGTGGGGAGAATGTCCTATATGTTACAGGATATTTATTTAGCAGCACCCCTGGCTTCTACTCACTAGGTGCCAATAACATCTCCTTCCCCATTTGGGACAACCAAAAATAGACATTGTTCAATATCTGAGGGGTGGGAGGGTGGAACAACACTAATTTAAACTGAAAATCCATTTGAGAACAGTCTGAGAAGACTGTGGTGAAATGCATGTTAGAAAGTGTGGTAGCCAGCCTCCAAGATGCCTCCCAAAGATCCAGCTTCTTTCTATTCACACTCTTCGGTAGTCCTCCCCAACCCTGAATAGAGCTTACCTGTGTAATCAATAGGACATTGTGAAACTGACAGACTGACTTTTTAAAGCTAGGTTATAAGAGTCATTGCTTCCTTAGACTACTTACTCTGGGGAAACTGGCCACCATATCATGAGGACACTCTGCAGCCCTATGGAAAGGTTTACATGGCAAGAGCCTTATGAGTAAGCCACCTTGGAAATGACTACTCCAACCCCTGTCCAGCCATGAGATAACTACAACCCTGAACAAAACCTTGACTGCAACCTCATGAGAGGCCCTGAGCAAGAATCACCCAACAAACCACTCCTGAATTCCTAATGTACTGAAACTGCTTATTGTTTATTATTGTTTTAAGCCTCCACGTTTTGGGATAATTTATTATATAACAATAGATAATTAATAGAGAGAATTTAGAACAAACATCAATGTCAAGCAAAGAAAACATTTCTCCATTCAATAGTTTGCCTTTTTAATCAGAGAGGCTCTCTTTGTCTGGCTAAACAAAAATTTAGGAGTAGAGTGCTATTGATCATAGCATAACTAACAGAAGAAGGATAGAAGCATATCAAAAGAATAAAGCTACAGCTTTTGTTCAGAAGAAACAGAAAGCCTACTTTAACTGCCTAATTTAGGAAGATGCATAATTCCTGAAATAATGGAATTAGGCAAATAAATAATTAATGGATAAAAACACATCTTATCTTTATAAATGTTAGCTTTTTGTTTATATTAATAAATTGAGCTCCACTTAGAATGTCATTGTAGGGAATTAAAATGCTAATCTTTGTTAAAAAATTAAAATAACTCATTTATTTTGTGAGAGTATGCTGTCAGGATTGTGTATCAATTAGCTATTGTCATACTAACACTGCACAACAAACCCAGTGATGTATAGTAACAGATATTTATTTTTTACTCATGAATCCTGGGGTCAGCTAGAGTTTGACTGACCTTGGCTGGGCTTGGCTCCTGGCTATGAGTTCAGTCCATCTTTGCTTCACGTGTGCCTCATCCTCCTTAGGCCAGCAACTTACTCAAGGCATGTTCTTCTCATGTTATGGCAGATGTGTAAGAGTGTAGTACATAAATACATGATGTCTCTTAAGGCCTAGACTCAGAACTAGCACACTGTCACTTCTGCCCATACCTGATTGGCTAAAATAAGTCATATGGTCAAGCTTATGGGAAAGGGGAATATACTTTACCTGTGGAGTTTGGAAGAGGTGAGGTGGGAAGGAATGAATATATACTAAACAATAATCTACAGGTTATTTTTTCTTTTCTTTTTGCCTGATTCTATACATTTATCATTCATATGCTGCTATAGACAACAACCTATGTTTCACAATGTACAAAGTTGATTAAATGTATTGCAAGACTTTACTTTCTTTCACTTTTCTGACAGGTTCAATATTTTTTTCCTTTGGTTCATTAGGAGACCATATTAAAACATTATGAGGGATGATGAGGCTTATACCATGGAGGAGGTATCAATTGGGGATGCATTCAATTGTAAATATCATGAAACTCAATTTACAGTTGCTGAAACAAACAAGTTTATTTTTCTCATGTGACAATCAGTTCAAAGGCAGGCAATCTTGGGTGGGCAATATCATCAAAGACTCAGCTCTTTATCTCTTTCTGCTCCATGATTTTTAGTACACTGGCTTTTGTCTTCATTGCTGTAATATGGCTGGTGCAGCTCCATACATCAAGTCTACAGTCCAGCCAGGGAGAAATGGCAGATGACCATGGAAGCTGACACAATGTTTTCTTGTGTTCAAAAAGAAAAACTTTTCCAGAACCATCCTCAGTAGATGTTCACTTATATGGCATTAAAAATAAGGTTTCAAGTTTTATAGCCTTTATTTAAAAAAAAAAGGCAAGGTAAAAGCTGTTAAAAAGAGGTGTTGAGATAACCCACGGTTTCTACCACAAGGGGGCAGACACAGATGATCCTAGTACCCAATCACCCCTACGGCTAAGCAATCCTTACCTTCAGGTATCCACTTGTAACAAGTACAAAATATACATCTCATGGGTATCCCCAACTAAACGATAATCTTGTCCCTGGACCTTTGTTCCACCTAGGAACTTGTCCATCTGAGCTTTTCATCAGGCCACATAAAATTGATTCTACGTTTTCTGGATTGATTTAGAAGTTATGATATTTTTAAGCTATACTATAACTTTTATTGATTTGAAAAGTACCAGGAAAAGCTATTATTTTAGGTTGTGTCCTTGGGCAAGTTACTTAGCTACTCTGAGCTTATTAAAAATATCTTGAAAGGTTGTTGTGAAGATAATAAACCACGTTTTAAAAGAACTTCATATTTTGCCTGGTACTTAGAAGTTGAGTTGTGTTACTTGCAGCCAATGTATTCCTAATTGATATATTCTCTATGCTTTTATCCTCACCATCTATCATAATGTTTCAATGTACAAAACTCTGATAAACCAAAGGAGTAAAATGTATTTGTCAAAAAAAGTATACACCGTGGAATATTATAATTAGCATCTGATATCATTGCCATTATTGTTCTAGGATATTTCAACTCATTCTAATTAGACAGTTTATTCTCCTTTTAAATATCTGATAGTTTTGCAAGTAGTTTCAGAGCATGATAAAGCTACCAATAATATATCCAGAGCCTGTATTCAGTATTGCTTTCATCAGGCTGCTAAGTCTGCATTATCATTATGCATCATGCTTCTAGAATGGTCAGATAGTAAGAAGATGAGTGGATGAGACTTTTTAAAATATGAAGGAGAAATACAGAACAATAGAAAATATCATGCCTGAAACATAACCTCTAGGTCAAGTAGAAGTTGTCTTCCTCCTTCCCTTTCTGTTCCGTCATCACCAAAGCTCTTCTCTGCTCCTCAGGGTGGAGGTAAGGAATTGGGAAACAGTGAGGCAGTTTCTGTCTTGTGCCACCTTTAGTAGAGATAAAAGTATTTGCTTTTTACTTTCCTTCTTATTCCTCAAAGTCACTGGTTACAACTCTTAACACATATGTTATTTTCCACTCAGTGCTCTAATTGGGATTCAGGTCTAACCACTGAGATAAAAATTTAACTAGATCAAAATCAATTAGACTATTCAGTCATTAACTGCACATGACATTAACTCAGATGAACAGACACATGACCTGTTACAAACTCATTGGTAGGTTGAGTGTTCATCTTGAACTTCCCTCACCTTCACACACAGGAAGTTATCATAGGTTCTTTCCCTTTAGCTATCAAAGATTAACCTCAGTAATTTGGGAGTGAAGAAAAAGTAACCATCAAAATTCTAAAAAGGAATTATTTCTTCCTATTGTTAATACCTATGATTACTTCCAACGTGAGAGGGTTTAACTTTAGTAACAGTCCTCAAGTAATAGGTGTCATCTAAAAATTTTGATTTTTATATCTTTTATATCTAGATTGACTTTCATAATCCAATTAATCAGGGGTGTGGATGCCTTATTTGCTCTCTTGCCAACCGATAGGTATGAAGAAAATGGTGATGGTGGTGGTAGTGGGTCTCCTGAGTGTCATTAGCACCTAAACAAGAGAGAGGACAATCCTGACACTTCAGCAAGGTTTATCCAAACCCTGAATTTGCTTATATCATCATAAAAGACCAGGGCTTGAAGGTGCCTTAACATTCACACTTTTGTTATATAGAGAGTTGTTTCTTTGTTTGTTTGGTGTTTGTGTGTGTGCGCACCATATGGCAGACTTTTCCAAAAAAATTATTTTATTTTTTCCATCACCATTTATCCCCTTTATGCCCTCTTCCACCTCCACCCCCCCCACAATCACCACACTGTTGTCCATGTCCATGAGTTCTCTCTCTTTTATGACAGAGACCCCTTGATATATGTACAATACCTACACCAATAGGTTCAGAGCTGTAAAGATGCCTATTTAGAGTAGATTTGCCTAAATCAGTCCTAAAAAGTTGACATGGACATTCCAAAAGCAGGGATAAGTCCTAATGCCAATCACCCTGGAAAAGGTAAGACATCACCTTAACACCATGTTCACTTTTTATATAAAATTCTTATTTAAGAGGAATATTTAATAGAGGAGGATCAAGGGAGCATGAAAATGTTGGGTACATGAAGTGAAATGGGGAATAAAAAGACGAAAAGGGGCAAAGACATGGGAGACCGAGGGAAGACAAAGTCACTCTGCCTGGGTGCTCCTGCATCCTAATGAAGTATAAATATCCTTGAGATGAAACCAATGATTCTCAAAGTGTAGTTTCCAAACCAGCAGCAACAGCATCACTGAATAATTTGTCTGGGGCCCACTCCAGACCTACTAAATCAGAAACATCCCCTGCAGGTGATGCTGATGTATGCTCAAGTTTGAGAACCACCATGTGTTAAATGTTATCAATGATGTCCACCAGAGTGTGAATGAGTTCTGCTTAGATCATGGACATCTCAGAAGTAGTCTGGCATGGAGCCACTCTGTATATATTGCTTGAATCAATAAATTATTTTTGTTTGATGACACGAAAATCTTTTTAATGACATCAAAATTTAGCGCAGTAATGCCAAGTTGGAGAGAATAAAGGAGAAGGAAGTGTTGAAAGTGGGGTGTGTGAGAAGAATACTAATTTCCCAGTTTAGGCCAGTATTGTCTCTTCCTGGTTAGAAAAAAAACATACTCAGATATATTACTTTAAAAGTAGGTTCCAAGTATTCCACAAATAATGTTGATATCCTCTCTATTTTTTATTTTCCACTTGGGCAATAAGATAAAATAGCAATCCATACAATTTGTAACTTGTCGTGAAATGGATGGACCAACATTTCACATTCAATAGACTTTGGATAGACTGTACTTTGTTCACAAAATATTAATTCACACAGGAAGCAATAATTCTGCTTACATATTTTTAAAATTAAAATCCCATTAAATATTTGCTTTAAATACTTTTCTTGAGATTGTCATATTAAGAGTTTAAAACAAGCAAATAAAGTGTTCTTGCTTGGTTATATTTTAAGGTCTTGTGGTAGTCTTGTAAAGTCTGGCTGACCATTGTCAAGGTCATTGTTTAGGGAAGAGGTTCTTAACCAGGGTGATTATGCCTCCCAGGGAATATTTGGCAATGTCTGGAGGCAGTTTTGGCTGTCACAACTGAGAGAGGGGCTGCTACTTGCCTCTAATGGAATGCTGGTAAATACCCTTCAATGCACAGAACACAGATCCAGCACCAAATGTCAATAGTGTCACAGTAGAGAAATATTGGTCAGAGTCAGGAGGCCCTGTTTCCTATAGTATGAGAAACATTTAATTTTTCTTTTAAACCAGGACATTCTTGAGATCGAAAGGGGATACTATTAATAGTTATGCCAGAACAACAGGTATAAATAGGGACAGTCCCAGGCAAAATTCCTGGTCTCCACATCTTAGGACTATATGAACCTAGGCAAATAGCATCCTCATCTATAAAATGAGGTGGGAAGATTGGCCCCCAGGTCTCTTCATGCTCCAGTATTCTAGTTCCAGAGATGTAAGCCTTTGGTGCCCCAAGCATACATTATTCATTATGTGTCTGTCACTTTTATCAGTCCATAAACTCTTCCAGAGTAGGCCTCTATCCTATTCATTCTTCTGTCTCTTTTACACTCTTAACGCAAGCCCGGAAAGAATTTTTGTTGAACTCTGTGCTTTCCAGAAGATTTACAACTTCCCACACCAGCAAGATGTTAACATAAAAGATTTTAATATCAAACATATTTTGGTCATATCTCTCCATGGGGAATGCAGATGGAGCTTGACTTTTCCTTCCTGAGTTACTACCATGGCCATATAGTTTATCTTCTAACCTAGGATATGTGTGAGAACAAAAGGGAATGTTATTAATAACAGCACCAGGGCAATAGGCATGAACTGAGAGGTCAATTGCCTTAGCCAGTTTGAATGTCATTAGAATTCAAATTGTCAACTAAACAGATGTGTGTGGCTGGCAGAAATATTATTTTTAAAATATGTTTTTATTGACTTTTAGAAAGAGAGGAAGGGAGAGAGGGAGAGAGATAGAAACATTCATGAGACAAAAACATCAACCAGCTGCCTCCTGCACATCCCCTACTGGGGATTGAGCCTGAAACTCGGGCATGTGCTCTGACCAGGAATCGAACTGGTGACCTCTTGGTGCACTGGGCGATGTTCAACCATTGAGCCACACCAGCTAGGCTGGCAGAAATATTATGCCCACCCTTTATAACTGCTGACCCCAATTATATGGCCTCTTTGAAGGTAAAGCACAGCTAGTTCCTTTTGTCCACTTTGGAAAGAATTTGAGTCTTTCCTTCATTCTTACTTGTTTTAGGCAGAGAAATAAACTCGATGAAAGTCCATAACCAATGGGGACCAAAAATAAATAAATAAATAAACAAATAAATAAAAGAAATGTAAATAGAACTACCATATGATCCAGCAATTCCACTTCTGGATATTTGTTTTAAAAAATGAAAACACTAACCCAAAAAGATATCTGCACCACCATGTTCATTGCAGCATTATTTATAATAGCCAAGATATGAAAGCAACCTAAGTGTCCACCAATGGATGTATGCATAAAGAAGGTGTAGTATATACAGTTGACCCATGAACAAAGCAGGGGTTAGGGGTGCTACCTCTCTACACACTTGAAAATCTACATATAACTTTTGGCTTCTCCAAAACTTAACTACTAATAGCCTACTGTATATTACTATGTATATTTTATTGTAATAAATGATAAAATGTATTTTATGCATTTATGACATATCTAACTTGTTCTTAATTTTTTGATATTTCTAGGCTATGTGTGAGTTCTTTCAAATTGTTGCAACTCTCCAAATTTTTTTATTGAAAAAAATCCACATATAAGTGGACCAATGTTGTTCGAGGGTCAACTGTATTTACAATGGAATAATATTCAGCCATAAAAAATAAGGAAATCTTGACATTTACAACAACATGGAGGGAACTGGAGGGCATTATGCTAACTGAAGTAAGTCAGAGAAAGACCAATACTGTATGACCTCACATATGTAGAATCAAAAAAAGTCAAACTCATAGATACAGAGAACATGTTGGTGGTTGTCAGAGGCAGAGAGGGAGTAGGGGGTGGGCAAAATGATTGAAGGAGGTCAAAAGGTACAAACTTCCAGTTATATAATAAGTAAGTCCTAGGGATGTAATGTACAGCATGGTGACTACAGTTAATAATACTGTATTGTACATTTGAAAGTTGCTAGGAGAGATCTTAAAATTTGTCATTGTAAGAAAAAAATTGTAATTATGTATGGTGATATATGTTAACTAGACATTGTGGTGATAATTTCACAATATATACAAATATTGAATCATTATGTTGTACATCTGAAACTAATATAATGTTATATGTCAGTTATATCTCATTAAAAGTAAAGAAAAGAAAGGAAATGGCACACTCTCCATCCAGGATTATATTGAACTGATACCTATAAAGGAGTTTCTCAGCTCTAAAATACCATGATCAGAGCAATTATCATCATTAAAATTATTTCAGTTTGTTGGCATCAAGTAACCCTTTTAAAATGCTATTTTCTGAGCAGAGGAAACAAGACTGAAAGGTTGGAAAGTTGTGTGCATTGGTACTGATGACATATGAAGTCTTTTATGCAGCCCTGGGCTTTTTGTGCATAGCTTCTCGCAATGCATTGTTTTCCCTGCATCTTCATTCTCCAAATACAGATTGAAAACTGTATATATTTGGGGCACTCTGCTAAATGCAAGGATTAAAAAGTGACTAGGTACCCCAGGCCGGTGTAGCTTAGTTTTTTGGAGCATCGTTCCATAAACCGAGACGTCAGGTTTTGATTCCCAGTCAGGGCACATACCCAGGTTTCAGGTTCCATGCCCAGTCAGGGCACATATGGGAGGCAACCGATTGGTGTTTCT